CCCCAAAACCCCAAAACCCCAAAACCCCATGAGTTAAACTGGACTAAAATAATAATAGTAATTAAATTATTATATACTTATTCCGCAATTACCTAAAAATGAAGAAGCTGCTATTTGATATTTAGTAATAATAACTTGGTAAGTCAACTTCAGTCCAAGAATCTAGAGATCGTTATTAAAACAATCTCAGGCAATATAAATCTCGCGCATTGAATGAGAGACCTACCATAATAATTGATAATGGAAGCTACGAGTGTAGAGCTGGATGGTCATTTGAAAAAGACCCCTATCTTAGATTTAGAAACTATGTGGCTAAACCAAAGACCTCAGTTAACAAGTAAATTGACTCAATGCATTTAGTTGGTGATGAAATTAACGAATTCGATGCAGGTAAAATTCACAAGAGATCAATGTTTGACAAGAATGTGGTTTATCATGTTTAAAGTCTAGAGCATATGCTAGATTACACATTTGGACATCTAGGCTTATCATAAGAATCTTCAATTGAATATCCCTTACTGCTAACAGAACCAATGTGTAATCCAAATTATTGCAGATCTAACATATCAGAGCTGCTCTTCGAATGCTATAGAATTTCAGCAGTATCTTATGCTGTCGATTCACTATTAAGTTTTTACTATAACAAGGCCTAGAATCTAGGAGGTGCTTTTTCAGCAGACAGCTAAAATGGTTTAGTGATTTCCAGTTCATACAATACTACTCATGTCATACCTATAATTGAAGGAGGGGTACAATTGTAACAGACTAAAAGACTTCCTTTAGGAGGGGCTCATCACCAAGAGTTACTTAGTAAAAGCCTCAATCTGAAGTATGTTCAGCACAAAAATAACCTTACATCTGAAAGCATCTAATATATTTAGGAAAATCATACCTACTGTCCTACAAACTACAGAGACCAAATACTATTTTTAGAGTAAGTTTACCAAGAAGAGAGAAACTATCAGAAAGAAGAAGAGAAAAAGAGACAGGAAGCCCTCTATGGAAATGTTAATAACCCTTAAGAGCCAAAATCTCTTAATCCTTAGGGAAAAGATACTTTAGGTAGGAAACTAGTAATCTACAAAAGCAGAACTCATAAGCTAAATGATTAACTTGGAGAAGATGAGGCTTTAGATAAAGAAGATCATGTAATTTAACTTCCATGGGTAATGGAATCAGCACCCACTGATGAGGAAATGAAAAGAAGACACGAAATGAGAAAAGAACAAGGGCAAAAACTTAAGGAAATCATGCAAAGGAAAAGAGATGAAAAGAAAAGGAAAATGGAAGAAGAGCTTGCGGATCTTTAATCACTTGAAAGTTTGAGAGAACAAAATGACTTACAAGGATTCAAGGAGGAAATTCAGCAAAGGGGTATAAGTTCAGTGGATGAATACAAAAAGAAAGTTAAATATCTCCAAGTCAAGTTAAATATAAAGCAGTCTGAAGGAAAGACCGATGAAGAAAAATACAACCTTATCGATATTCAAGATGAATTCCTCAATCCAGATTAGTTGAGATAAAAGAGAATATAGAAGATGCAAAAAACTGCTACTCTAATGAGAGAAGAGAAAAAAGCTCAAATGAAGGTGGAAAGAGAGAAAATTGACATTCTCAAACAATCAGATCCAGATGCCTATCTGAAATCCTTATATGAAAAAAGAAAGGAAATTTTAGATAGAATGAGTGATAGAGCAAGAAGAAAGGAAGAATTTTCAAAGAGAGGCTCCAAAGCTGCTCAGAAAAGAATGTAAATGATTGCTGAACTAGGCATTGATGATAATGAAAATAATCAAAAGAAGAGAGGTAGACCTCCACTAGATGAGAAATTGCCGCCATAAAAAGATGTTGATGAGTCAGATAACTTCGGTGCAGCTGATGAAGATTGGGATATCTACAGAGGCATTTAAAAAGATGGTTACTCAGAGGATGAAGAAGATGATTAGTAAGTTTTGAACGAATTAGAGGAGTAGATTGCAGATCTTGACCCTAAGTTTTCTAATTTGCTTTATAATACTAGTGCTTAACCAACTGCTGAAGACTACTAAATCAGACTTTGGAGCGATAGATATAGAGGAACAGAAATCTTATTCTAGCCTTCTATTGTAGGATTAGAGAATGCAGGCCTTGGTGAAATTTTGGAAAACATCATGAATGGATTGAATAATGAGCAAAAAGCTAAAATTCTTTCTCATGTATTGTTAACAGGAGGCAATACCTAAGTTCCTAATTTTGAGAGAAGGATTGAAGCCGAATTGAGAATGATTAATAAAGCAGGATTAAAAATCAACGTCGTGAAGTCCTATGATGCCTAATTAGATGCTTGGAGAGGTGGAGCTTGGCTAGCTCAAAATTACTTCTTTGGGTAGTCCTTGCAAGAGTTCTCAATTTCAAAAGCTTAATATGAAGAATGTGGTCATCATTACTTGAAAGAGCATTTCTGTTCTAATATCCTATATGGAAATATACCATCAAAGTATAGCATGGGGAGGAAAAATTCTGGAATTCTTGTAGGCGAAAATCCAAGCAAAAGACTTAAATAATGAACTCAATTGATTGATAACTTTAATTTCATAAACTCATCTGAATTTTGTTAGAGGGGTTTTGGGGTTTTGGGG